AGATCTAATGTTTTGAGAAACTCAAATTCTTCTCGAGATAAATATTTATCTAAATCTATAGTATTCTTATTAGATGGGCCAGAAGAGTCAAAGACTTGATCCAAAGAGGAATCAGAAATTTGATACTTTGTATCATTACTAGCTTCTGAATCGATTTGTTGAATTGGAATTGAATTTGGATTTGTAGTAGGAATAATTTGAGGTCAACATAGAAATTTTCTATCCTGAAGATGATGAGTAAGTATCTATAACTTTTTGAATAGTCTATTACATCTATTACAGCTATGAACTATTTTGTATATACTATATAATTACAGAAGTATAATATATTACTTATATAAAATCTTTTGTTTAATTAATTATTTCTATATATTAAAGGTACTATATAGTATAGTACTATAATAAATTTTGCTACCCTTTACTATATATATAACAAAATTTTGTGACCCCTTATTGAAATTTTGTTACTCTTTGGTATATTTGGTTATATTTTTTGTTACCCTTTGTTATATATGCATATATTTTTTGTTATCCTTTTGGTATAATTGGGTCACATTTTTTGTGCCAGTAAGTAGTGAAGAATTGGCTTTAGAATAAATTCTGCTATAATAAACAATTTTGTTATCCTTTTTGTTATAAATTTGGATAAATAAATGTGTTCTAGATATACAAAAATATTGATATACTGATTGAGATTTTTTATGCATAAATGATATCAAGTAAGATAATGTAAATCATTGTTATCTTTTTGATATAAATTTGAGCAAAAAATTGCATTCTATATATACAAAAATAATATCACTGTGCTAGAATGATGACACAAACACAAATTTATTGTTATTTGAGTGACGACACAAATGCAAATTTATACCCACTATGACAAAATGATATCCTTTTTGATATGAATTTGGGCAAATAAATATGTTCTAGGTATAAATATACTATATAGAGCTCGAATAACTTGAAATATATAAAAAAAACTACCGGGTCACAAAATTGTGCCAGAACTCCCAAAGTGCTTCTACTACTATTATGTAAATAAAAAACAAGCTAAAGAAGATTGTAAGAATGTTCTCATAAAGACAATCCCGACATGATATTTAGCTTTCTAAATAGAGCATTTTTGAAAGCAACTAAAGCTATTTGTAATACATGTAGGCTATATGGAATGCTAAATAAAGATGTATTAGTTTGCCTATTAAATTTAACAATAGCACCTGATTTGTTTTCTGACATATACACCATATTGTCAATAAGCCAAAATCTACATTGTTTTGGATCTAGATTATTTTCTTCACATAATTTTCTTACTATTTTGGCCACATTTTTTCCACTGCATTTATTTATATCAACTATTTTTGCAAGGTAATAATTAGTTGATTTTTATATTTATTCCAATACAAAAAACAATTTAAAAATACCTTTTTATCTCTTCTTGTACTTTTATTAGCTATTATACTGTATAAATAAGAAGGTGAATAAGGTTCACCTAGATGATTTTGTTGAAATGTTATTTTAGCAACTTCTTTATTTCAATAAGAAAGAGTTCTAGTTGAGAGCCAATGATTTGGTGTTTCTTCAATAAAAAAAGTTGCTATCACTTTAGTATATTCAACTGCTGATAAAAGTGAAATCGACCCAATATTACTTATATTAGTGGCAAACTTGACAAATTCAGCCATATATTCATGCTTATTTTGCTTTATTATTTTTTTTGCTACCTTTTGAAATTGACTTTTTGTAACTTTTTTGTTTTTTGAGCAATAGATTGGATCCTTGAAATATATTTTCTCTTTGTTTTCTCTGCTTGTACAAGCTTCATATGAAAAGATCTAAGTTCATGATTTGATTTTTTTAAAGATTTTGCTAGCTTTTTATTTTCAGCTTCTAATCTGCTTATTTTATTTTGCATAGTATAAGCAGATGAATAATGCCTAAAAAGACCACTAGTTATGAATTTGTTTGCTTATTTTGTAAATATGGAGAAAGTATTTTGCCTTTTGCTTTACCTTTAGAATATACCATTGTATTAATCAAATATATTACTCTTTGAATTTGATTATCTGATAAGCTTTTTATTTAATCAATTAATATATCTTTTTTCTATAGCACTTTGTTGTTTAGGATTGATTGAATTAATATAGGTTTGTATTTTTATTAATTCGTTTTGGTCCAGGGAATCAATAATTTCATAGATATTAACTTTTGGTAAATTTTTTGAATTAATATAGGTTTGAACTTTTATTAGTTCTTCTTTGTCCAAGGCATTAATAATTTCATGAATATTAAAACATCATTTTTTAGTTTCAGTAACTTTTAATAGATGTTTTTTTTTATTTGTTGGGTGAGTTATTTTTGACAAATTGAACTATATTTGAATATAAAATTTTATATTTTAAATAAATATTCATTTACTTTTAATATAATCATAGTGATCTCATTGTGGAAAAATTTTATATCATGTTGAAATCAAATTTTTATTAATTTATAATTAATATATTATATGTTATGAAAATTCTAAATAATTTCGCAGAGTATTCAATTTTTAATCACAATTCTTGCACATTTGTTAAAGAATAGTAGCATTTTAATTATCAAATATAAAATTTACATATACAGTATTGATGCGATTATGTTAAAAAAAATGCGATTATATTAAAAAAAAAAACAATTATATTAAAAAAAAATGCGATTATATTAAAAAAAAATACGATTATATTAAAAAAAATACGATTATATTAAAAAAAATATTTTAACTTAAATATTTCTTGACACGTTTATATGTATATAAAGACCTTAATATTAACAACGCGTTTTCTATCATGTGATAATTATATAGCATGTTCATATCTTTAAAACGTTATAACTCCCGCTCTAGTAAAGCAAATTTAGTTCTGTAACTTGCAAATGATGTATAAATAGTGTAGTAGTTTTGAACCTATGTTGCTATATTTAATATCAATATATAAGTTTAACGCGTTTATATGTTCTAAACTTAAAAATAATGACGATTTTACTATTAAAATTTAATAATTTAGAATTTTCGTTAAATTAATCAAATAAATTAGAAAATGTCTCAACATAGGTTTAAAATTATATCTTTTATATGTCATTTGCAAGTTATAGAATTGAATTTGCTTTACTAGAACAGGAGTTATAACATTTTAAAAATACACGGATTTTATAATAAATTACTATGATAATTCATTTCGATAAATTGATCGATAAAATCTCAAAAATCTTACTTAGTAGGCCAATCATATATTGCTGCACTATGATAGTAAATCATTTAGTATGTAACACCCCAGGTTCCGATGCATTCCGACCTGCATGCATTTTTATACAGAATTCAAATTCCATTTATTTAGTTTCGAACCAATAAATAATTGTTGTAGTTAATGCCTGACCGTAAAAAAAACGATTTTTTAAATATTCATATAAATATTTAAAATTCGAATGAAGTTTAACAAAAAAAAAAAAAAAAGAAAGTTCATCCTAAAGAGCATTTGAGAAAAGTACTGTAATAATATTCGTTTTCTGCGCCTAAAAACCAGGAAGTGAAAATTTAAGTTTTCATTATAACGAATTTAGCCCCGGAAGAATGGTTATACACTTTATGTTCTGGTCGTTTCGATACCAAAAACCTGTATACTATAAATGTCAAGTAACACATGCAATTGAACACCAGAACATCGATCGTACAATATTCGTATTATAATTCTTCTGAGACAAAATTCGATATATGGAAAAAATTTTCACTTCCAGGCTTTCACCCATATACAAACTATCACGCTCACTATATGCACTGTTGCAATTTTGCAATGTATATATAGGTTATAATTTATATAGCTCCCAACCTTTCACATACAAAACAATTTAAAATACATTTGATATCGAAACATTGTTCTAACTAGTTTAGAATGCTAACTGATTTAAGCAAGATGTTGTCAGTCTGACGAAAAAAAATACGTTCAAATATACTCTGAGGCATTGATAAGCGTGATACTGTATGAACTTGCTTTTTTCTTATAATGATACCTTTTCCATAGTTCGTATTAGGGATAGAAAATTGTTTAAAACGGAATGTTTTAAAACATGATTGAGTTTTTAAATGGTTTAATACATTCTGACGTAATCATAATACGTAATCATAATACGTAACAACGGGATAGTATTTATTATTTATTTATTTAACTAATTTCATCAAAATACAACTTTATCTCTTTTTAAAATATAAAATTGTAAACAATCATGCTCCGTGGGAGACCTCCATTAAAAGAAATTCACTTGAACTTTATAAAAGTTACGGAAACTGCACTTTGCCAAAAGTGTAACTACTGTTAAGAGGACTTTGTGGATTTAGTGCTTAATTAAAGGATCACTAATATAGATGCAAAGAGCCTCCAAAATGTTATTAAATAATGAACGGTAAAAAAAATTTGGTGCAATATATCAGAATTTAAGAATTCAAAAAGAAATTGAGATTGATGGTTGGTTCGAAGATGATGATAATTAAATTTATAGTTATGCATTAAATTAAAAAGAGCGTACAAAAAAATAAAATAAAAAAAATAAAAAAAATTATATATATATATATATATATAAATATAATAACGAAAGTTTATAAAGTGATTATTTCTTCTTTAAAAGTTATCTCTATGAAATTTGGTGAATCAGCATTTTAGCACTAAATTTTAAATTTAGTCTCAGCGCCAATGTTATTAAAAAGTTTTAAAGCATCTAAAAAACTGTTTAACCCGTTTTTTTTTCATCCCTAGTTCGTATGAGTAACGTCCTGTTAAACTTTACAACCGCATTAAACTATTACTGCAGAAAACCATCAATCCTGCACGAATTATAAGTATATATAGTAAAGTAGTACGATACGGAAACGCCAAATTAGCACGGACGTATAAATCATGATACGTAGTACGTACGATTTGTAAAAAAAAAGTTTCAAACCAAAAGTTACATTTTTTACTAGCCTTAATCCCAACCATTAAAGGATTACTTATAAAAGTTGAATTTTGCAAGTCAGTATTTGTTAGACGTCACTTCAAATTCCCGTCAATTAAAAATTGACGTACGTACGTTTAAAAAAGAAAACATACAAAATTATATATTTATTAATTATGCCATTTACATTAACGCTACACTACTGCACTATTAAAACTACCTTAATAAAGCAAAATAAACATTTTAATGAAATTAAAAACACTAGACTAATACATAAATTTCGAAATATAAAGAATGCTTAACAGAATACGACTCAACTACATTGGAAGGTACGAAAGGCATTGTTTTTACAACAAGAAGGGTTTTTATTTCATTACAGTGATTGCCATTATTTTTGTATTTTAATTAATATGTTTCGCGATATTTCGAAGAAGTCTTATTAGTTGAGTTTTGTGAAGTACCGTGTTTCATAAAATCTTCAATAGGATAACCACAGTTATGTTTATCTAACTGAATATTCAACTCTTCGATAACTCCAATTTTAACTAATTAAAGGTATTAAGAACCAATAAAGCTTGGTTTTTGTGTTAATTATAAAACAGCTAAACAGCGATCATATTTTGAATAATCATGATTCTTTCATTTTTTTCGACCATTCGACTATTCACATAGCTGTCAACAATTTTTAAGCGAAAAAAAATGAATGATTAATAAAGCATTTGAAGCCATTTCGCAAAGAAAATTAATAAAATTTTTTTAAAAAATTTTTTTTAGATCTGATATTTGTACGTTACATTTTAATCGATGTAAAATTTAAATTCACGTATTTCAATTATTAATTGACGGAAATTTGAAAGTGATGTCTAAAATATTAACCGTACGTACGTCCGTCTGAATCTATACTGTCGCACATTACTACTTTACCGAATACCTGAATTATAATCGCATAATCGTTAACTATCAGAGTTAAACTAGCATTAACGTACTCTAAATTCGATAGTATCGATAAGTAACAATATTTACGCGCCTGGTACGTACGTACGTATGTAAACAAATTATACCAGATAACAATAGTCTAATTCAGTAATTACGTGAATACTATCACTCGTAAAATTGAGTGTCTATGTTTTATAGCAAACTTTTCATAATAATTAGAAAATTTCTTGTTAATACTGCAATAAAGATATGTAAATGCTTGTAAAATTTCAATATTTTTTATTTGATTTTTTATAAACAATATTTTTTGAGGGTTATGGCCTATCTGGGAATTTCCGACAAAGTATGACAAGGTTCTAGTTACGGCAAAGGCTTTAGAGTTACGGCATAAGCTTTAGATTTACAGCTTAAGCTGTAACATCATTGGGACAATTCTACTGCATCACTAGAATCTATGCCTAAATAGGATGATTGTACGTATATTTTAATACAATGAACTTTAGGATGGCTTGTCTCCTCTGTGTTAAGTTGCGTTGCATTAGAAATATTATCAGGTATGATAATCGTTGATGGATGAGGAAACCTGTAAATTGATTAATGAACTTTTTATTGAATATTCACTACATCGAACTCGGCCCAGAAGAATCTGATCCAATTCTAGCCACTTCGTTAACATCGTTTATAATTATTACATTATATCATGAACTTTCATTTAAAATTTCGATCCTACCGTTTTATATAAGCAACTAGAACAAAAATCTGTATACATATTTAAATATTGCTGTACGTTATGTTAAAATTCATAAATCGATTTACAGTTTCTCATGTCGCCATTCATATATTGTTACAGTGGCTGTTTATGAATAAATGTTTATTTCAAAATTTAATAATCCGCCAACCCAAAATTCCAACAACCACTTGGTCTTGAAAGTTCATAATCATGACAGTTTGATTATTATTATCAGGTCTGCCTGAAATGTGTCTGCTCTTATAAATTAAAACGTTATTTTATCAGGATTACAAACTTCCAAGATTTAAAATAATATTGGATGTTCCTTGATGAAAATATTCTTGTACCTCGAATTTAAAAGAAACTAGCAGAATTTTATCTGTGGATTTTTAAATTGTCATGTCCTGTCGGTCAAGACCATGATGTCGAGATTTTTTACAAACCTCTGACAAATGAAATAAACTAGTGTTGACTTATGAAAAATCTTATTCTGATTTTATAGGGTACAAAATAATTAATCTAAATATTTGCATTTAGAGATATACGAGTATTTGTACAGTATTAAGAAATCGTGAAGAAGCTTATCATATGGACAGATACAAAGAATCGCTAGCAGATTTAAATAAATCATTAGAAATTGAACCAAATGATGCATTTGCATTAAGACGTCGTGGAATAACTTATCGCAACATGTGTAGATATGAAGAATCACTAGCAGATTTAAATAAATCATTAGAAATTGAACCAAATAATGCATTTGCATTAAGTGAACGTGGAGAAACTTATCGCATGATGAATAGATTTAAAGAATCGCTTTCGGATTTAAATAAATCATTAAAAATTAAACCAAATAATGCATTTGCATTAAGATACCGTGGTGCAACTTATCGCATGATGAATAGATATAAAAATTCACTAACAGATTTAAATAAATCATTAAAAGTTGAACCAAATAATGCATTTGCATTAAGAAACCGTGGCAATACTTATCTAATGATGAATAGATATGAAAAATCGCTTACGGATATAAATAAATTATTAGAAATTGAACCAGATAATGCATTTGCATTAAGAACTCGTGGAGAATCTTATCTCATGATGAATAGATATGAAGAATCACTTGCAGATTTAAATAAATCCTTAGAAATTGAACCAAATAATTCAGAAACGTTAAGTAATCGTGGGGCAACTTATCGCATGATGAATAGATATAACGAAGCTCTTGCAGATTTAAATAAATCGTTAGAAATTAAACCAAATAATGCAGATGCATTAGAAAACCGTGGAGCAACTTATTACGTGTTGACTAGGTATGAAGAATCACATAAAGATTTAGAAAAATATAATTCTTTAGTAGGATGCATAAATTGTAGGCAGTATAATACCTCTAAAACCTGGTGCCAATTATGTGATCCGAAGATAATAATTCGATGGTGGTCTAGCGGAAATAATGAACTCGATGAATGCGTAAAAAAATTTCAGATTAAAACTGCAAAATATGAGAATTTGATTGAATGGATTCCATCTAATAGACTAGTTGATAATCAGATAATTGGTAAAGGTGGATTTGGTACAATATTTTCTGCAATCTGGTTAGATGGCAAGCCAATAATTAAAAATAATTTACGAGCACGTGAACAGTCATGCAAAGTTGCCCTTAAAACTCTTAGCAATTTAGAAGAAGTAAGTTTAAGGTTTTTATTGTAGTGCTTTG